AATGTTAACTCCAGAAAATCCTAAATATATTTCTTAGCAACAAGGTGTGAAACAGTACCAGTGCATAATGCTACAGATTCATTTTGAAAGTGCTGTGTTTGCGCTCCCACACCTTCCAAAGCATTTTTTTCTGAATTGAATCAAAGCACTGTACAGTCTGTTAAAGAGATTTTCCAGTTAGGACTGCACTTGGAATGACCCTTGCTATTATATTTCTCACACAAGGGGAAAATCAGTCTTCCTTAATTTATGCCATTGGCAGTCCAAAGGGAATCTTTTTGGAAAGGTGCTATTGCAAGGAAAATAAGGGGTAGACTTTAACCCTTCTTCTATGAATCATAAAGAAAAATCACATTGTTCTAGAAAACAATGTGGCTTAAAAACTTAAGAACTTAAAAACATAAAGACACCAAGAAAACAAAGGTCAAGAAATGCCATTCCAACAAGTCAGTGCAAGAAACAGGTTAGAATAGAATAGAATAGAATAGAATAGAATAGAATAGAATAGAATAGAATAGAATAGAATAGAGCTGGAAGGGACCTTGGAGGTCTTCTAATCCAGCCCCTTGCTCAAGCAGGAGAATCTATACCATTTCAAACAAGTGACAGTCTCCAGAACTCAAGGTTTGACTGTTGATAAGCTTCAAAGTTCATAATTTTCTCAGAATTGTTTAATTTTCTTATATTAAGATTCAGCTGTATGTGTCACTGCATTCTACAACTTGTTTAATTCACTTATTTCTTTTGCTTTACTAACAATTTGTTTTGATCATCTATATTTTTTTATTGTAAGAGGAGAGTCAAGTCAGTCTATTATAACTTAAAAATCAGGGAGAGTCTGTCTCAAAAGTGCTTCTTTAAAAGGCAACTGGACTGTTTTTTCCCAGAGGAAGAAGAAGAAGCCATTTTGCTTCTTCTCCAAGAAGCTTCATCCAAGGGAGAATCTGATTAATTAGTCAGCACCTTTTCTGACTAATACATTTTAATAAAAGGCATACATTTTCATAAAATGCATTAGTCGGAAAAGGTGCTACTGCAACTCCTTTATATAAACTTTCAGTCAATTAGTTCTCTGCAACAGCCTATGAAAAAAGGAACAAAGAATCTCTAAAGGGATGAAAACATGGACATTAATTTTGGATGCTGACTCCTTTATGCTTATCTCTTGCGGATGTTTTAAGGAAACATTTGCAGGAGTTGAGTGAAAGAAACATTTCTATGGGGCTTTAGATACAGAACACGTTTATATAGAATGCATGTAATGCTCAGCATTTAGATTTCAAGATTTTATAATGAGATAATAAAAATGGAATACATGTAGTCCTCACTTAATGACAGCAATTAGGACCAGAATTTGCCATTGCTAAGAGACATGGTTGCAAAGTTTGACATCACATGATTGCACCACTTAATCATGGCACTGCCACCAGTTCTGGTTGCTATTGTTGAGCAAATCCTGCCACACTGTTAAGCGTGACATCACAGGGTCACCATTTGTGACTTCCTGCCAACCTTCTCATTGACTTTGTTGGTTGGAAACCAGGAGTGAATGTTGCAAATGGCAATCACAAGACCGCGGGATGCTGCAACAGAGGAATTGCAAGCTGGCCGCTAAATGTCCAGATAATAATCACATGACCGTGGGAATGCTGCAACGACCATAACTTTGAGGACTGGTCATAAGTACTACTCATTTAATACCATTGTAAGTTTCATTGGATGAATGACCATGTATAAAATAATATAGAGGTGTTTATTTCTTTTAAATTCAAGTTGGCCTTCTCACAAAATTTAGATGTTAGTAACCAACAACAAGGAAGACAGACTCAGTTATAATGGCATTGTTGGAAGTCCTGAAAAACCAGGTTAGGGACCAATCACTATGGAGAAAATCTATCTATCTGGTCACTAAAGGTTAATGGCACATAATCAATAAAAAAAATCAAAACAAAAACACTGCAACAGCTACTCAGAGCCAAAATGTTATACATTCTAGCTGATTTAATATTTACAAATTCCTGCTATGGATTTACCAGAGAAAATGGTATGTTTTAACTATATCTTTTTTTCATCCAGAACATATAATACAGGGGGGTCTGCTGGCCCATTGGCCAGATGCGTCATGCCGAAACCGCGCCTACCCCATTGCCAGCAATGGGAAAAAAAGTCACAATACGTCATGACACATCACATGACGTTGCAAGTTTGACACCCCTAATATAATAGAATACTCAAGGGATATATTTAAACACAGATATTGTCACATTTTAAACAATATCAGTCTTTCTCCAGAAATAGCATAAGCTATTTAATATTTACATAGATGTTTATATCCCACTTCTTCAGTCCAGAGGACTCTTGGATCAACTTTCAAATATGTTTAAACAATCAAATATAAAAACAAATTATGAACAATAAAATCACAATGGAAGAGCAAACCATCATAAAAAAGTCTAACAATTGGAAATGAAAAGACTTTAGCTTTGATGACTATGATCTTATTATTTGAGGAATTTTATTTAACAATTGTGAGAGGTTTCAATTTCATTTATAGCCTAACCTGTAAAGATTTTCCTCAGAGAAAGCATAATATTTTCAGGCATATTTAAATCATTAGACAGCTTTTTTCTGAAGAGCTGCCGGCAAAAGCAAAATAAACATTTGACAACATATAGGCAAATTCTGGCTTAATGGTAATGGTAAATGACTGTACTGTAAGATAAATAAGTAAATGGGCAGTTCTGACACTGTTGAGAAGTACGAAGTAGGGTTAACTGGAAATTGGTGCTGGAACCAATGCTTTCTAATTTTTATATAAATAAATGATCAGGACTTAGTGAAGTGGTTATGTTTGCTGATGATACCAAACTGTTCAATGTGGTAAAATTATAAAAAAGAGATCCAGAGATGTTTAAAAAAAATCTCTCCAGGCTGTAAAAATGGATTTGTAAATGGCAAATGTGGCTCAGTGTAAACAATGTGAAATGATGCATGTTGATACAGATAATTCAAAGTTTATCTGTATATTAATGGGATCCAAAGTGTCAGTCATGGACCCAGAATTATGGTAGAGAGCTCAATGAAAATGTCAACCCAGTATGCAGCTGCTGTAAAACAAGGCAAGTTCCCTGACTGAAATTGTTAGGAAGGGAAATGAAAATAGAACTGCTTATATAATAATGCCCTTATAAATATATATATGGTGAAGCCACCCTTGGAATATGACATATATTTTTGTCATTGTACTGTCACTGTACATACAGTGCTAGAAATGCAAAAAATAGCAATCAAGATGATTAGGGACTAGCATTGATTACAGGACTCCCATTATAAGATGGGCTACAGCAATGATGGATCCTTATATTGGAATGAAGACAGTAAAGAGAGCCATTTATATATATAAATCCAAATTTCTTTTTCTGACAAAGAGTTAAAGAATTAAGTTGGGAGACTAATATGACCATTTCGAGCTCATTTGCTCTCCTCAATTAGCCAACACAGGATAACAGCTACAATGAAAAAGGTCTTAAGATGGACTATCAGATGAAATATACAAGAAGGTCATTTATCAAGTTAGTCAGACATCATAACTAGATCGAAAACTCAAGGAATTTCTACAGAGATGAGACATGAATGGAAAACACCACTACAAATAGACCTCATTTTGCAACTAATTTGGAAACAGAATTGCAGTCATTGAACAAAACAGCCATTAAGTGAGATAAGCATTTCACTCAAGAACTGCAGTCCAAATCATTCTTCCAGTTGCAGTTGTTAAGTGACTACAATAGTTATTAAACAGATAGTGTGAAAGAGTTGCCTGCTAACTCTTTCTCTGTGCACAACGGAACTTTGTTGGGGACTTTGAAGATCCAAGCTTCCTTTTTCCAGCCTCCAGAAGAAATTGCCCTCCCCTCGGTGCATGTAAGGGAAATCCAGTGCTGCATTCGAGAAAACAAGGGTGGATCTGCATGATATGAGCTTTTTTAGCCCACTACAGGAGTCACTCCCACCCCCATGCACAGAGGGGAGGGGAAATCCTTCAGCAGATGGCAGCTTGCAACCTTCCTGCCAGATTCTCCATTGACTTCCTGGGGAAATCAGCAGAGAAGCAAATGATGATCACATGATTGCTGCCTATTCAATGTTTTCAAGGGTTGAAACTGGTAATGATTGTGGATGTGGTTTCTCTGGACCCAATTCAGAGTGACTGGAACAGCAAAAACTCACCAAGCATTCTTCCAATTTTATTTTATTTCTCTAAATGCTTTTTTCCAATAATCTTCCTACTCTTTTCCCGAATTTTTGAAGTCTTACCTAAACTGGACCTCAAGGAGCTTACAATTTGATTGCGCCTATTTCATCTTTTTTGTTTTGGGTAGCAACATTTTTTTTCTATATCTGAGCTGTGTCTATAAATCTTCTGAATTTAAGCTTAGGATCTGACTACTGCCATGTAAGCTCTAGAACTGAGCATGATAAAAAGAAAAATGAAAAATACTTTTTTTATATGACACGTAATTAATCTATGGTAAAAGTTGTAGAAAGGACAAGCAACTGGGATGGTTTTTAAAAGGGACTGAACAGATTCATGGAGTATCAGACTATCAATGGCTAATACTGGTAGTTATTACTTCCTCAATCATATGCAGTATGCTGTAAATACTGGTTGCTGGCAAACGGAATTTGAAGGAGGCTATCAACACCCTGCTGCTCAGGTTTATGAGCTTCCCAAAGCATCCAGTTGGCCACTGTGAGACAGAATGTGAACCAGATGGGCCTAATAGCCTGAAAAAGAGTTCTTTTTATGAAATGATGCATTTAGTGCAGATATAAAAGGAGAAACAAATACTGGGGAATAAAGGATCTTGACTAGCTTTGTTTTTCACAGCATCTTGTCAACTCCATCATCAAAGTCATCTTGAATATAGTATGATTTCATTAAGAATGCATCAGAACACATACAAAAACATGCCATCTATTTGGTACATGTTACTCACCATTGTTACTATTGTCATCCACTAAAATAATCTCTTTCAACAAATGAGCAGGAGTCCTGTCGATTGCAGAATGAATGGACCGAAGAATCACTGAAAGAGCTTCATTCACAAATATGAAAATAATGCTGACCTCGGGAAGACTCTCTGGAAAGGTCAGGTTCTTGCACCTTTGGGAGGGGAAAAGAGAATTTAGTCCAAATTTTTGATTGAAATATTTAGAACTGCAAATTTGTACCCATACTTGAGAAACTCCAGGTGATTCCAAGTTTAATTTAAATGAACCCTGTAACAACAAAATAAAGATATTCACAGCCAGTGGCTCACCCAAAGCTGTGCATATGTTTCTTTATTGAATATACCAGTGGTGGTGAACCTATGGCACGGGTGCCAGAGGTGGCACTCAGAGCCCTCTCTGTGGGCATGCACGCCATCGTCCCAGTCCTAGGCCTTCAGTTGGGTTTTATAAAACCTTTTTGTTTTAGGCTTCCGCCGCTGTGTGCAAAAAAAAAAAAGGTTCAATCAGTCAATTTCAACTTCTCGTGGGAAAAATAATCTTGCAAAGTTGGAATTATTGATTGACCTTTTTAGTCCCACCCAACCTGCCATTACCACTGCAGCCACACCCACCCAATGGACCACGCCCACCCGGCACCCGACGATACATAAATGGGTTTTGGATTGCAGTTTGGGCACTCGGTCTCTAAAAGGTTTGCCATCACTGGAATATACTGTACACTTGAGCATTTGAGAAATGGTTTAAAATATGTTGATGACACATACACCCAAACATCCAATTTTCCTTGCCTCATGAAACATTATTTCAATTTTGATTGGTTCCTGACTAGCTGCTGGAAAAGGCATACATATTTCATTTCGGTTCTTTAAACTCAATGTTAGATCTCTGAAGATTGCCATGACTGAGCTCAAGTAGTAATTTTGTCCAGTGTCATCCTACTTCAGATAGGTTACAAAACAGTATTAATAACCCCCAGTCAACTGGAACCTTGGCCCCCAAACAGGAGTTGATTTTCTGGAAATGCATCATTCTTCACAGCTTGAAAATTCTCAAAAATGATCTTTAAAACAGCTGGTCATGAGTTATGTGAAATTGTCAAAAGGCAGCATTTTAAACCAAGAGTAAAAAATATGAAAGATATGATCATTTAATGGGCTCTTATACACACTTTTCTCCTTATTAAGCCAAATTAAGTTATTTAACCTGAATGTAATGCTGCATATTTTATTCATGACCCTAATTTTGTGAAGTGTTTGGCTTGTTATAACTAGTTGATTTTAATATACTTGTTAACATGCAATCTCAAAGCCGTCTCTTTGGAGCAAATCTCTATTAACAGAGATTACCAGATATATTTCCAGTATTACTGTATTTGTGAAGGTATGATATATTAAAATAAGAGTGCCTTGTATATCTATAGTCCTCTTAACAACACAACACTCAGTTGTGTCTATGTGATGATTCTCAAAATAATGTGTAATAATAATGTGCAAATTCAAATTTTAATATACTTGTTAACATGCAATCTCAAAGCCATCTCTTTGGAGCAAATCTCTATAAACAGAGATTACCAGATATATTTTCAGTATTACTGTATTTGTGAAAGTATGATATATTAAAATAAGAGTGCCTTGTATATCTATAGTCCCTCTAACAACACAACACTCAGTTGTGTCTTTGTGATGATTCTCAAAATAATGTGCAATAATAATGTGCAAATTCAAATTTTACTATACTTGTTAACATGCAATCTCAAAGCCATCTCTTCGGAGCAAATCTCTATAAACAGAGATTACCAGATTACCAGATATATTTTCAGTATTACTGTATTTGTGAAGGTATGATATATTAAAATAAGAGTGCCTTGTATATCTACAGTCCCTCTAACAACACAACTCCCAGTTATGTCTGTGTGATGATTCTCAAAATAATGTGCAAATTCAAATGAACTGTTGTTATGGTTGCCAGAAAAATATATGCAAAAGGATATTATTCATATTCTATTTCAAACACAATTGGCAGCAAAGGGGAAAGTACTCAAAAGGTCTTTTCATAAGTATTCATATATAAATCAAATGTGTTCAGGATGGTATTACTGTTGTTCCTCATAATGGAAGGAGTAGAGTAAGCGGCATGCTGATAGTTTGCTTAGAATAATGAGAAATTATTCTTCCATATTAAGCCAACCATTTGCAATCTGTTGTCAAACGCATTTCCCTCACAAAAATACTGAATTCCATTTCTGCTTTCTATTAAAATGCAAAGTTCTCCTACAGAAGCTCCCAAACACTATAGATGTGGCAAAGCTATTTGGCATCCTAAGCCTTTTCAGTTCAGATAAATGCACTTTCTGAGTGGCAAGAATAGGGAGGGGTATCATATATGCATCTTTTCTCTATTGCTCCAATTGTAGAATATATGATTTACTAAGGGCATTTTAATGTGTTCTTTTAATGTACAGTATTGCACTTGCTGTTTATTTATTTTTAATGTCCTTTTGTGTTCATAGTATCAGAGTCAGAGAAGAAATTAAAGAATAAATCTGCAGTCAGTTTTTTAGATGAGAGACATCAAATGAGGTACTGGTGGGGGAAAGGGGCATGTCAGGAAACACCGGGATAATTTCATGATGGAAAGAGAAAAAAACAGAGTAGAACAAAATAAAACAACACTAACACAAATTAGCGATGAGAACCACCATGCAGGCAAGTACTAGGAAGTGGATTTATTTATTTATTTATTTATTTTTAAAATTTATAAGCCGCCCCACTCCCGAAGGACTCTGGGCAGCTAACAATAAAAAAAACACATAAAACATAACAAGACAAACAATGCAAAGACAGTCATCCAGGGGTCAGGTTTTATAAACCCCAGGCCTGCCGGAAAAGCCAGGTCTTAAGTAGCTTACGGAAGACCAACAGGGTGGGAGCGGTCCTAATCTCCGGGGGGAGCTGGTTCCAAAGCGTGGGCACCATCACAGAGAAGGCCCTCCTCTGCGGCCCCGCCAAATGGCACTGCTTGGCCGATGGGGCCTGAAGGAGGCCCAGCCTGTGGGATCTAACTGGACGTAGGGAACTATGAGGTATGATAGGATTGGCATCAAGACACTAAGAAAATAATATCAAGTAGGCCGCAGCAAAAAAAAAAGGCATTAATTCATGCTTTTAACTATTTTTAATAAAAAGCAGGATATAATATTACAAATAAACACAAGGAACTGCGTAATAAAGTGTGGTGGTAACTGCTACCATCAATCAACCATCCCAATAATAATGGGCCCTGGCTACTTTTAGGAGCATCTTCCTCAGGTAAACTCTGCCTGCACTATATCAGCTAGTAGGAATGGATGCTCTGGGTGAAAGAAACTAAGACCTAGAGAATTTTCAGCATTTTCACCTCTTTTTATGTGAAAGAGATTTGTCCTACGAGATCATATATTACATGTTCCTACCGAAAGCAATCATCTTCAGGAAGGCATCTAGACTTACCTGATAGCAGCAATAGTTTTAATGCTACAGGTTGGTCCATTTTTTTGCAACTGGAAATAGTAGTGTAATAAAAACAGACTCTTCTGTGGCTCTGGTTATAAAATTTACCAAAATAATAATTTACGAAATATGTAGGCCACCCTATCTCTCAGCAACTCTGGGCAACCGTCACTAAGATTAGACTATTATCCATTTCAATAATACAGAAATAATCATTATGGAGAGAAAACAGACCACAAACAGCTCAACAATCTAACATAGCTGTAGGTCACATAACAGAGAACAGATAGTCAATAAAGAAACTCTTCAAACGTTTCAGCAGAAAGAAATGGGTTCTCTTGGATACAGTCCACGTTTTCTTTACATACATCTATTGCTTTTTATTTCCAACTGTGTTTGGAAGAAATATTACAAGTGAAATTTAAAATAAAATTCCTCAGGATAAATTACAATAATTTGAAGGCTAACTTCTATTAAGATTCAACATGCTGCAAAGAAGCCAAGAATACTCAATAAAACTCATGAGGAATGAGCTATTGCAGTATAAATTTTATTAAATGTTGAACATATTGCAAAAAAATTTAATGTTGCATGTCCATTATATTATCAGTTTGCTTAATATTTGTAGGCTCTTGAATAATATTCAATGAACCAATATGCTAACCAGGCTACTGCTATATGTTCAGTTCAGTAAGTAAGAAGCCAACTTTTAATATGCCTTCATTTGTCAATATCAGTGCATAAGCAAAGAACATTTATAAGCATAAGGTTTAGATTACCCACATGATTTTAAAAATGAGAAAAAATATTGATATTAACAGCATTGCCAAAAGGTCAAGGTGTAATGCAAGTATAATGAGCTCTTGGTTATTTAAGCATCTTTTAGTATAGGATTAATTATAGTTCTGATTTCTTTTTTCTTTATTATATTCATTCTCGGACCAAACATTAACCTGTAACATTATCTTTGCCATTTAAATGGTAATATACTTTATTGAAAGCCAAGGCAAGAATTGTATATAAATTACCTTTATTCTTTTACAACAAGAATGAAGACCTTGTCTTCCACCCAAAAGTATTGGTCTGAATTGCCATCATCTCTTACACTGGTCATGCTGATTTGAGGTTATGGATATTGAAACTCAACAACATCTGGAACATCACATTAAAACTCCCTTTTTACGACTGTGTACTCCCTTAGTTATTTGGGGTAGAGTCGGGGTGATTGGATGGAGTTAACTGACTGGATGCCCTTCCTGACGCCATATGGAGTTCGCAGCAGAGTTCGCCTTAGGAGAGAAATATCTGCTGCTACCTTTGATTGAACTCTCCTCTTTCCGAGTAGGAGGCAAGTGTCTTCACCACAACACCACCATGCCATTCATCTGGCGCACCATATTACCTATCCCCATTCTACATGGTCAGATAGTGTATTAATGAGGGGAAATTCTGGGGTCATTAAGTGAAACCTCATGTGACTGTGACTTCTAACTTTCTTGTGATTTTCATCTTGACTTTGCTTGTGGCAAGCTGGCAGGAAATGTCAGAAATAATAATCACTGCAACATCATAATTGTAAGTCAGGTGCTGAGTGCCAAAAATCGCAATCACATAATTGTGGGGGTGCTTGCAATGGCCAGAACTCCAAGAACTAGTTGTAACT